AAAAAAAAAAAAAAAGAGTTGTTATGAGTTGGAATTAACTCGATGGCAGTTGGTTTTGAGTTTTTGGTTTTACTGCTGGGAGCTCTGGTGATGTAGTACCTAAGGCATGTGACTGCTAACCAGAAGACTGGTGGTTCAAATCCACCAGCCACTCCTTTGAAGGAAGACTGGGCAATCTACTTCCATAGAGATAATGCCTCGGAAACTCAAGGAGGGGTTGCTATGAATTGAATTTACTCGATGGCAGTGAGTTTGGTTTTTGGGTTTTTTTGCACGTGACTAGCACAGAACTCCTCAGAGAGAAGGTTGGGCAATCCTACTTCCATAGTGATACTGCCTCGGAAACCCAAGGAGGGGTCACTATCAGTCGGGGCCGACTCAACGGCATATAACAACAAAAACAACAGCACAGAACTCAGATATCATGCAACTCATCACAAGAATTACACAAAACCAAAACTCTTTTTTGTCAGGTTCAACAAAAGAAGTCCACATTCTTAGCTTTTGAGTAATGTCAAATTACTGCTATAAAAGTTTCTAAACACTTCCTCTCAATTTCTGTATTTATATTGTCACAGTCCGGGAACAGTTTACACAAGTACCTGCCTGCAGGCTCCAGTTTTGAGTAGAACTGCATTAGATTTTCCTGCTGCACAAAAGATCAGAATTTAGTCATCTTTCTCAGAAGCCAAAACTTGCAGTTTTCTAGTTATGTTCTGTATGAGTGAGACTGTCAGATGTGGGGGCCATAGACAAGCAGGATTTTCTGAAGGAGTCAAATCATATCAGTTGATGAGATCACCAGCATTCATTCAAATGACAGAATTATAATTTTATTCTGTTTGATAGCTATATACTTCATGCAGATTTAAACTCATGCCTTCTCCATATTTGTCGTTATGTTCATGGTTCCACTTGCTCACACAAATAAAATAGTTCTTATTTCACAGAAGAAGGGACTATACATATTCACAGTGGTTGCAAAAAGGCATTGGGGTGGCATCTGACCTCCTCTAACTTCACAAGGGGAAAGGCGGATCCAGAACAACATCAACAGCCCAGGCTGTTTCCTATGAGGCTGAGGTCAGACTTGCCACCATCCTCTAAACCTTTTACCCTATTTTGACATAAATTGTCCCTCCCATGGCATTCACTACTTTTCTGCTGGGTTGGATAATTCGTTGCAGTGGCCACATAGAACTCACAGACAACACTCATGAGTATGGGGTTTATCAGGGGAGTGTTGTTGTTGTTGTGTGCCGTCGAGTCGGACCCGACTCAGCGACCCCTCCTCGGGTTGCCGAGGCAGTGTCACTACGGAAGTAGATTGCCCAACCTTCCTTCCGAGGAGTGGCTGGTGGATTTGAACCGCCAGCCTTCTGGTTAGCAGTCAAGTGCCTTAGGTGCTATGTTAAACAGGTTACAATTCAGGATCAGAAACAAGTCCGATACAGTTCTTCAATCAGGACAGTTTCTTCTCAGCTGTGTCACAGGCATGCTTCTCTCTGGCCTTGGCTCTGCCCTGCTCAGGCCAGTGTTACAAATCTCTTTTAGCTTTGATGATAGCACCCAAAGAGGCACCCCACTCTGCCAGCAAGCCTCTTAATTGAAGGCACTCAACTTTCTTGCTCAGTGGGCCAGAAGCCCTTTTCTCTGTCTCATGCAGGTCTCTTGATTCTGCTGCCTTTGCTGCTGTAGTTTCTCTGCTGCCGTCTCTCTGTCAGCTCAGCGCAAGGATCTCAGGTCCAAGGACAACTTTCACTCCCAGCTCTTCTGTCTAGATGGCAGTGATATCCCCCTTTTCTGCCTCTAAGATGCCTCATTTTGAGTCTAGCAGAATAGTTAAGCTGACCTATACCATCATTAGGGATCCATATACCTTATTTTCAGGGTCTCATGGTACTCACAAGTGTGCCATATACCTTTTTTACATTACTTACAAGCTATCCAATCCCCTTGGTGGGCCACAAGCACCTTTCATTTATATAGTTCCACCCAGTCATCTGGTGGGAGTCATGAAGACCATGGCTAGAAGAGCCATACTAAGTAATTCACTGCACCACAAAGTACCTAAGCCACTTGACTGCTAACCAGAAGGCTGGTGGTTCAAACCCACTAGCCACTCCTCAGAAGGAAGATTGAGCAATCTACTTCCATAGTGATACCACCTTGGAAACCCAAGGAGGGGTCACTATGAGTCAGGTCTGACTCCACAGCATATAATAACAACAACAATAGTAAATAATATTAAGATACTAAGGGCCTTCTCATTAAAAGCAGAAGAACTTGTTTTACAAACCAGTAAATTCTTTCCTATTGTCATCTCACAAATCTCCCCTCTTTCAAGTCCAACTATCATTGCCTCCACTCAGGCCCTCACTGGCATGGATTTGTGTTTGAAACTCTTAAGTAACCTCCTTCCTTCCTTTCTAGTCCCATCTAATTCATCTTCTGGAGAACCAGAGTTATCTTTCTAAAATCTAATATGTACCCTTCCATGCTTAAAACATTTTGTGAACTACCATAACCTTCCTATAAAACCCAAATTCCTTAAGTTTGGATATAATATCTTTCATAATCTGAACTCCTCTTTTCCATAATGCTTTCAACCACACATCTATGAAACAAAAACACCGAGCAATTGTCCATCATACAAATACTACTTCCTGATTCTTATTTATTTTCATATTCTCCTGTATTTTGCAGTCAATATCTCAGTGGTACTATGTGAATGAGGACAGGTAAGTTGGTCTCAGTTTTATTTGTTAACATGTAATGAATGAAATTAAAATTCTGATGATGAAACTCATACTAGGATCCAATGTTTATCATCTCCCAAGTAAAGTATAGGTAATCCCATTGAAAAGATGACAGGTAGCATATACTTTTGGGTCAGTTTAAGCTTGGTCAGTGTTTAAAATTTCTAAAAATTAACTTTCATTTCCTTTTGTGTGTGTGTGTACATGTGTGCATACATACACACTTATATGTGTGCACTATCTGTACAGGAACATGTCGAAGAAGGCAGAGCCAGTCTCTACAAGTCTGTGGTTTCCAACAGTTGCAAGGAGATGTCTTGCTACCCAGACTTTCCCTTTCCAGAAGATTATCCAAACTATGTGCCAAATTCTCTATTCCTGGAATATCTCAAAATGTACGCAGACCAGTTCAACCTTCGCAAATGCATTCAATTCAAGGTAAGACACTAGCCATCAGTAAACATGAGGCAGTATCTCCTACTTATTTTCCATTATCTCCCTTCATCTTAGCCATGGCTTTGCATATAAGATAATCAAGTGATAAAATTGATAATACCTGGCTGGATTCCTTTAACCTTTGTACTCATTCCGCACCTCAAGTAAATCTTACTCTAGTAAAGTACTCCTAACCAATTTTTATTTGTGTGAACATTCATATGAATAAATTTTTGGTATTTTTACTTTGCAATACTTACATTCAAGTATCCTAAAGGACCCCAAAATTTCAATCTATATTTTCAGCTTGGGTTAAACCTCTGCACATAGGGATACTAAGAACTCCTACCAGCCACCTGGATACTCTCTACTTGACTATCTCATTAGAAGAATGGATTAGTGCAATTGTCCATACACAAAAGCACTTTGATATTTGATGGCTATCTGTTCTACACATTATTGAGAATAGAAAAATCTTTGATTGTTATTCTTTACATAAGCTCTACCTTCTTCCCTTTCCATTTCAGAGGAGGGAGACAAGTGGAAGGGAGAAAGACGGGACAAATGAACATATCCTCTTATTCCTCTTTCTTTTTCCTGTTTTGCCTCCCTCTTCAAGAATCACATGAACATCCATTTGTTTTCCTTCTCCTATCTCCCTATCCTATCAGAGACGAGGATGGAGAGGCATTCTAGGGAATTACAGAGAAAACATCAAGAATGAAGAGTTTGAACAAAACAAGTAGCAAAGAAGGAATCTTAAAAGTACTCCTAACCAATTTTCCAAGGAATATCATCCCATGTTACTTTGAAAGGGACAGTAAAAATAAAGCACTCTCATAGTGGATGGATAACCAAAAACCAAACCCAATGCCATTGAGTCTATTCTAACTCATAGCAATCCTATAGGACAGAGTAGAATTGCCCCATAGGGTTTCCAAAGCTACAGATCTTTATGGAACCAGACTACCTCATCCTTCTCCTCAGGAGTGGCTGGTGGGTTTGAACCAATGATCTTTTAGTTCACAGCCAAGCCTTAACCACTGTACCAACAAAATTTCCTAGTGAATGGATATGACCCACAAAAAGCTTTGAAATAAATGCACCAGAATTCTTGAATCTGAAGCATTTCCTTCACTACATGCTGCTCAGCCTTATTTTAAAAAAGCTAGGAGATATTACCAATGTTTTAAGAAAGTACACATAAGCAGATGTCTCTAAGAGGTGGTCTGTGGTTGATTTTTGTTTGGTTTTCTTTCTACTTCTTCTCCATATATTCCAAACTTTCCATAATGAAAATTTATTATTTTTATAATTAAAAATAATCTTTATTTTTAAATGTTTTAAGTTAATTGAAGATTTGTTTTAAAAAGAGAGATTTATATTTTAAAAAGATAACATGAGTACCTCTGCTAATACAAATCGAGAAACCCAACAAGCACTTCAAATAATACACCTGCTCCTCACTTATTGACTATCTTATTATCAAATATTTCACATCTTCAACAGTAAAAAATCTACTATCTGACAGTATTGCACATTAACGACGTACATCTGGCAGTAACAAACGCTGAAGTGAGAGAAACACTGGCTGTGATGGTTAAGACTGTGTATCAACTTGGCTGGGACATGATTCTCAGTGGTTTGGCAGTTATGTAATGATGTAATTTAGCAGATATGTCATGATGTAGTCATCTTCCATTTTGTGATCTAATGGGGTAATCTTCCATTTTCACATAATGCCCATTTTTGCATAACAGCCTGGTCTTTGGTAACCTAACCAAGTTGATAAGGGAGAAGTGAGTATATAAACCAAACAGCAAACTCATTAAGAGAACTTGAAAAGTCTGCGTTTGAAAACTTTGAAAAGGAAAGAAAGGCAGAAAAGTATTTTGTTCAGTGGATTATTTATGCATTTAAATTTGACTTCTCTTAAATTTATATATATATATTTGTTGTTATTGTTATTTGCCGTCGAGTTGGCCCTGACTCATAGCGACCCCTCCTTGGGTTTCTGAGGCAGTATCATTACGGAAGTAGGATTGCCCAACCTTCCTTCCAAGGCAGTCAAGTGCCTTAGGCACTATGCTACCAGGGCTTATATATATATATATATATATATATATATATATAATCTCTTGACTCAGAAGCTAATACTCATGGATATACACATGCTTAGTGGGAACAAAAAAAATAGACTATTTGAAATTTGGGCTACTCCCATAAAATTGAGGTTACAAGGTTGTCATATTTCAATAGCTTTCTGGATCTGGGAAAAAGGAATAGATTCTGTAAGGCCTTTCATAAGATACTTGGGACCAAATTTCTGTTTTCAATTATATATTAGCCATGTTTCTTAATGAAATTATGTTAGAAAGAAAGATCTATATAAAACAGGGTTGCATAAAGAAAGAATCATAAAAACGACATCAGAAGACATCTTGATTCTATCATTAGCTGTAAAAATTTGAGGAAATCACTTAAAATTTTCTGGACCTTACTACTTCTCTTAGATATTCCTGTACAACTCCAAGCTTAGAACACTTCCATAGTGGAAATCATGATCAATCTAGCATAGGTTTTTAGGACTATGCTTATTGATCATGGTTACTCTATGCTCTAACATGTTTGAACTGTCAACTGGAATACCAGCCAGGAAGCCCTGACTAAACCATGGCAACTGCTGACCATGTCTATGATTCTTTTTTCAGACCAAAGTCTGCAGTATAAAACAGCACCCAGATTTTGCTGTGTCTGGCCAATGGGATGTGATCACTCTACATGAAGGAAAGCAACAGTCAGCTGTCTTTGATGCTGTCATGGTCTGTACTGGTTTTCTTACTAACCCAAATTTACCACTGGACTCCTTTCCAGGTACAGCATTTTCTGCAACTGACCTTACATTGTCTTATGGGAGCCATCTTGATATGTGATTACTCTGGGGACAAATTCCTGTAGCTCACCTATTAAGTACTGTTGGAAAGTCACAGGGTTTTCTTTCTAACCAGCACTTTTCTGGCCACTCTGGCTTTCATTTGGAGTATATCATTCCAAACAATATATGAGTACAGAAGCGTAAAATGAGTAAGTTAATGAAGAGTCTTATACTTCACTGAGGTACTGCTGCCTTCCTTGAGTGGTAGCACTTAGGAACTTTTCTAAGACATGAATGCTTAAACAAGTTGCTAATCTCAGCAGCAGCTGTACAACCAAAGTTGCATTTAGAGGCTACAAAGGTCAATCCATGAGTAAAGAAAATGTCATTTTCATTCCTTTGTTTGTTTGTTTGTTTGACATGTGCCACAGCAATTAGCTAGCTTAGAATTTTATGACACAGGTTCAATAGTCAAAAGAGAGATGAGTCTTGGAAGGGAAATTAAGACATCTTCGGCTTTCAGTTTCTTCATCTGGGTTTCACACCCATGATTCATGTTAATCCATGTCAAAGTTCAATTGGATTGCAACTCAGAGGGAACAGATAATGGGGTGGTTTGGTTTATTTCATCTGCTGTGAAGATTCAAAGTGTTAAAACTCTGGGAAATTTTTCTCCTAATCATTGTTCTTGTGTGCCATCCAGTTGATTATGACTCATAGTGACCCTATTGGACAGAGTAGAACTGCCCCACAGGGTTTTCTAGGCTGTAATCTTTGCAGGAAGGAGCTCTGGTGGTGCAGTGGTTAAGGCATTTGGCTGCTAACCAAAAGGCTGGTGGTTCAAACCCACCAGCTGCTCTGTGGAAGAAAGATGAGGCTGCTTCCATAAAGATTTACAGCCTTGGAAACCCAATTGGGTTCGCTATGAGTCAGAATCAAATCAATGGAAGTGAGTTTGGTTTTTAGAATATTTACTGGAGCAGTTCCTTTCTCCTGTGGAGAAGCTTCTGGGTTCAAACTGGCAACCTTTCAGTTAGCAGCTGAGTGCTTATCTATTGCACCATCATGCTCCTTTCCTTAGCCAAACTGCAACTGTCACAGAATAGAATCACTGAATTAGAAAGCACCAAGTTCAGTCATCTCCTCAATGCAGGAAATGTTTTTCCAACAGCCATGACAGAGGCTCAACAGACTGCATAAACACATTGCTCACAACACCACAAGCCAACTCAATCCTATGTCACCTCTTGTCTGCCAAGCAAATCCTTGAGCAGTCAGCCACTCCATGCTCCTAGGAAGGAGTGCCTGGAACAGAAATTTCCATAGTATAGGGATTAAAAAACAACCAAACCAAACTCACTGCCATCAAATCAGTTCCGACTCATAGTGACCCCCTCCTTGGGTTTCTGAGGCAGCATCACTATGGAAGTAGATGGCCCAATATTTATTTAGCACCTACAGCATGTAGTACTAGGTGTAAAGCATATAGAGGTGGATAAGACAACATGCAGTCTGTGCTGGTAGAATCCTTGCTTTCCATGTGGGAGAGCCCAGGTTTGATTCCCTGCCAGTGCTCCTCACACACAGCCACCACCTACCTGTCTGTCAGTGGTAGAAGGCACATAACAAAAACAACATGATGCTAAGTAAGTTTCAGTGGAACTTCTAAACTAAGAAAAACTAGGAAGAAAGATATGGTGGTTTACTTCTGACAAATCAGCCAATGAAAAACCTGCAGCTCACAATAGTCCTATCTGCAACTGATCATAGTAATGGTGCAGGACTGAACAGCATTTCATTCCATTATGTAATGGGTTACCATGAGTCAGGGACAGATTTGATGGCAGCTAACAATAGCCTGTACTGGAAGAGTTAACAGAGTTTTATAGGAGTGCAGTGGTGGAATTACATCTTGATATGGCCTGAAATGATGTCAAAACACATTTTACAATACATTCACATACTTCCAATGGTCCTTAATCTGCCCCCAAAGGTCACTCAAGTCAGATCATATTGTTGTTGTTGTTGTTATGTGCCGTCGAGTCGTTTCCGACTCATAGCGACCCCATGCACAGCAGAACGAAACACTGCCCGATCCCGCACCAGCCCCACAATCCCTGCTATACTCGAGCCCATCATCGCAGCCACTGTATCAATCCATCTCGTTGAAGGCCTCCCCCTCTTTCGTCGACCCTCCACCCTACCAAGCATGACATCCTTCTCCAGGGAATGGTCCCTTCTTACAACATGACCAAAACAGATCATATTAGGATAATGTATAACCTGAAAATAACTGAGACAATGTGCTCAGTTTGCAAAGGATGATCTTGAGACCCAGAATATGTGGATTCTAGATTATATCACTAAATAGCTATGGAGTCTTGGGCCTGCCATTTAACCTTGATAAGGTTTTGTTCTCTCACCCATAAATTTTGGGACTTGGATCACCTTATCCAACAGTGTACATCACAGATCACAGATCTCAGTGTTTGCTTCACCAGGCACTACCAACCGACTATTTGAAATTCCTGCCCAGCTGAGTGTTCAGGCTCCTTTGAGTTCCAAAATTATATGATTCTAAACTTGAACTAGAATCCTCCAAACCCTACTATCTCCCTCTCTGCCTAACAGCAGACTTACTTAGTCTGTATTTACTCCCTGGAGTGGTTATTAAATGTTAAAAAATTCTAATTCACTGAAGATATTTATTTAAAAAAAAAAAAAAAGTGCCATGAATCCTGGAAGCAATTCCAAAGGAGTTCCAGAAAGTCTCAGTAAAAATAATGAGTAATATAGTAAGAATAAATGTATAACTTCCCAAGATGATTACTTTTATTCATTCAGATATATACATTTTTGTGCATTTACGAACAAAATCACATTCCCCTAATAAAAGTTCTTACTTTGTCTTTCTGTGAGATAGCAGGGGAAAGTGTCCTTTAGTGAACTCAGCCACAGAGTCTCCTTTTGCCCATTTATGACCCTAAACAATCTGATTCAGAGAGAATTTAAGGTAATCTAAGATTCAGGGATAACTCTATGATTCCTCATAGGCTTGTCCAGCTCTTCCTTCTCAGCAGTTATCTTACCTATACTGGGTCCCTGTGCTGAGTTCATATTTGAACTTGATTGCATCCTTGCTAAATTCTTTTTTTTTTTTTTTTTTTTTCTGAGAGAGAATTACCCACTGGGCCTCATTCCCTTTGCTTTCTTGAGTCATTTCTTCATTCAATTAACCTTTATTGAGCACCTCTGGGCTTTGTGGTACTTGGCTCAGTCAGCATGACTTGAGGGAGAAGACAGTCCTGGTTTTCAGTTAGTCTGTCATTCAGGGTTGGTCCTGAGGCAAAAGGTAAAGGCACAAGCCTATGAAGGTAAATGGTATTGTCCCAATTCTTAATCCTCTCCCTACATGCATTGTCTTCTGAGTGCCTGAAGGTCATTTGCTTATATATGCTGGTAATTCCTAGCTTCCTTTCCCCAGCCTAAAGCCTGCTCATAGGTTCTGAATTTATGCATCCAGGTGCTCACTGGATATCATTAGTTGTCCCATTAAAACGAAAACAAACCAAACCCATTGCTACTGAGTTGATTGCAACTTATAGTGATCCAATAGGGCACAGTAGAACTGGTCCAAAGTGTTTCCAGAGATGTAAATCTTTCTAGAAGCAGACTCCCACGTTTTTCTCCCAGGAAGCAGCTGGTGGGTTTGAATTGCTGACCTTTCAGTTAGCAGCCAAGTGCTTAATCACTGCACCACCATGGCTCCTTGCTTGCCCCATAAAAAACAAAAACAAACTCACTGCCATCGAGTCTATTCCAACTCATAGTGACACCCTTTGGGTTTCCTAGGTGGTGAATCTTTACAGAAGCAGATTGCCCAGCCTTCCTTCCACAGAGTCGCTGGTGGGTTTGAACGGCCAAGCTTAGAGACCTCAAATCCAACATGTGAAAGAGGAACCCATCATCTTTATTTCCTCATCTTTGTTTCTTCCCCACCTGCTCCTCCTTTCTCAGTACCACCAGTGACCAAGTTGACCAAGTCAGAAACCTGTAAATTCCATGTAAGTAGGGACTATGTTTTGGCAGAGACAATGTGTCATATCTATTTCAGTCCTTGAAACATGGACTATGTTGTTGTTGTTAGTTGTTGTTGAGTTAGCTCTGGCTTACACTGACCCATGTACAACAGAACAAAACATTACCTGGTCCTGTGCCATCTTGACAATTGTTGGCATTCTTGAGTCCGTTGTTCAGCTACAGGGTATCTTGAGTGCCTTCCACCTAGGGGGTCTCATCTTCCAGCACTATGTCTGACAATATTTGATTGTAACCCATAGAATTTTCTCTGGCTAATTTTCACACAACTGGACCAATGAGCAGCATCACAATAAATGGAGAGAAGATTGAGGTTGTCAAAGAATTCACGTTGCTTGGTTCTACAATCGATGCCA